TAGAAATAGTTCGTCTTTCCTTCTTCCTAGTCTGTCTTTGTCTGGAAGCTCATCTGAAACCTGTCCACCATGGGTGACCCTGCTGGTATTTAAAATACCAGTGGCATAGCTTTTAGAATCACAGCAACTCACAAGCCACCACAGTATGATAAACTTATCTAAATTTTCTCCAACACTTGATAGCACAAACATTCTTTACTTCTTGAAAGAATGTGTTTGGTATCTGCAATATATGCTTTTCATTTTCCCTCTAGGATCCTTGCCTTCATTCTATTTCATATTGTCTTCTTCTTCAACCCATCTCTTAAATAACAGCATCCCATAATTTTGGCCTTGGTCCTCCTTACTTTGTATGGCAGCACCATTTCTCATTGACACCTGTGTCTTTAGTCCCCTAATCTCAAACACCATTGGACATCTCACTTCTCAGCTCCAGGTCTACTGGACACCTTATTGTCTCTCAAGGATTTACACTCAACATGCTCAAAAGTCTTCCCACTCTGGCCTCCTCAATTTTGAATATCATTTCCATTTACCAAGTTGTTCAAGTTAAAAATTTAGTGATGCTTGACTTTTCCCTCTCTTTTTCCATACACATGCAATCAAACTGCTGTTCTTGCAGTTCAAACTGACCTTGAGGTTGAGTGTTTATCCTATGGTGCCACGCCAGGACTCCAATCACACTGTTGTTGTTTTGTTGTTAGGTGCCATCAGCTTTGTATCGACTCATAGAGACCCTATGCACAACAGAATGAAACACTCACTGGCCCTGTGCCAACCTCACAATCATTGCTACACTTGAGCCCATTGCTACTGTCACTGTGCCAGTCCATCTTATTGGGGGGTCTTCCTCTTTTTCTCTGACCCTCCACTTTACCTAACATGATATCCTTCTACAGGAACTGATCCTTCCCAAGTGTAAGTCTGAAGTGTGGGAGACAAAATCTTACCATCCTGTCTTCCAAGGAACATTCTGGGTCTGCTTATTTCTACATAAACTGGTTTGTTGTTGTGAAAGTTCAATATTCTTTTCCAACACCATAACTCAAATACATCAATTCTTCTACGGTCTTTCTTCTTCACTGTTCAACTTTCACTTTTATATAAGGTTGAAAATACCATAGCTTGGGACGGGCACATCTTAGTTCTCAAACTGGCATCTTTACTCTTGAACACTTTAAAGAAGTCTTTTGCAGCAGATTTGCCTAATGCAATACTTCGTTTGATTTCTTAAATGCTGTTTCCATGAGTGTTTATGGATGATCTGAGCAAAATTCAGTCTTCGACAACTTCAATCTTTTCTCCATTGATAAGATTGTTTATTATTGGTCCATTGGTGAGGAATTTTTTTTTTTTTTACATTGAGTTACAATCCATACCAAAGGCTGTGGTCTTTGATCTTCAACAGTAAATATTTTAAGTCCTCCATCAGTACTTCACACCCAATATTGTTTTTACATTGAGGTCAAAATAACCTTTGTAAAATACAAAATGATTTGTATATACCTCCAATAGCTTTATTACTTTTAAATTGAAGCTCAATTTTTTATAGACTATCAAAGTCCTTTATTACCAATACAGTATGATCTTTCATTACTCCTTCCCCTTGTGCCTCCTATTTTGCTTATCCTGAACTATTTGATGTTTTCCAAGCATATCTTACATAAATACCTTTGCATATGATGACTCAGCCTGATTTTCCTACTCCTGGTGTGGCACCATAGGGTAAGCACTGGACTGCTAACTGAAAGGTCAATTATTCAATCCCAATAGCCACTCCTCAGAAACCCTATACAGGGTCACTATGAGTCAGAACTGACTCCACAGCTCTTAACAAATATAGCAATAACTACTCTGTTGTTGTTAACTTGTCAAGTCAGTTGTGACACATAGCATCCCTGTGTTGGGTTTCCATGGAGTGGCTGGTGAATTTGAACTGCCAAACCTGTGGTTCAAATTGACCTTATTGTCGAGTGCTTATCGTACAGCACCATTCTAGGACTCCATAACTACTCTGTTGTTGCTGTTGTTGTTAAGTGCCATCAAGTCAGTTCCGACCCATAGCGACCCTGTGTAGGGTTTCCATGGAGCAACTGGTGAGTTTGAACTGCCGACCTTGCAGTTCAAATGGCTTTGCAATCTGGTGCATTAACCCACAGGGCCATACCAGGACTCCATAACTACTCTAAACTAGGCTAAATTCTCCCCAGGCTTCAGGATTCAATTGTATATCATCTCTTATAGTAATTCTTTTTGGGCACCAAAGCTCCTTTGTGGTCCCATAATATTCTGTGCATATCACAACCACAGCACTTACTAGACTCTATCATCGTTGCTTTTGTACTCTGCTTATTGTAAACTCTTCAAGTACAGAAACAAGGTGTAACCTAATCTATCTGAAGCATGACCACTAAAAAGTGACATAAACTGCATTTTTCAATGTCTTTTCCTCTAAGCAAACTTTCTACTTGATCAAGTAAGCTATAATAAAATTCTTAACAAATTTGATAATAAATTCTTTCATTCACTTTCAGATTGATGTGGAAATGAAAAATACTCTATAGTTCTGATGCTTGAGTGTTCTTAGGTAAGTACAGATATACTTTTCAGTGGCAACAATGATGCTAGCATTTTACAATGTATCTTACAAATCTTTTTAAAAAAATAACTATTCTCTATCTATTCAAACTTATTTTACAGATGAAAATAATAAGAATTTAAAGAAATTAAGACACATAGCTGACTTCTGATACATTTAGAGCTAGAATCAAGGTTTACTAGTGCTCTCTCTATCATTGCCTACTTCTAAGATAATGACATGCATAAAGACCATTTTAGTGATACTGTGATTAATGCACTGGACTACAAGGTTAGTTCAAACCACAAAGTTGACAGTTCATGCTCACCTTGGAAACCCTATACAGGGTTGGTATGAGTCAGAACCAACTCGACAGCACTTAACAACAACAATAAACCTGGTATGACACTCTAGGATAAGCACAGAATTGCTAACTACAATGTTTTTAGTTTAAGCCCACCAGACATTCCTTGGAAGCAGGGTCCTTATGAGTTGGAATTGGCACAACAGCACTTAACAACAATAGTATTATCTATGTGTAAATAAATAATGTAATCATCAATACACAGTATAATAGAGAGACTACGTGTACATATAACTGCATGTTTGGCATAAATGAATTCGTTTAATTACAAATACAGCTATAGAAAAAAAAAAAAAAGAAAACCTTAAGTTTATAGACAGGGTCTCCAGCAAAGTACTTAAGAGAAGGAATTCTTCAAATCAATGCCACACTGTTATATTATTACTTGGTCCTTTCAGATGTTACATTTTAATGCATTAAAAAATGCTTGGTATACGTTTATTCAGACATAACTCCACACCTTAAACTAAAGATGACTTTCATGCTGTATATTTTTGAAAATATATTTTTTCTCTCCAGATTCAGATATATTCATTTAAAAAATCACATCTGAGATTATATTATTAATAAAAATAATGATTTTGTCTTCTCTTATGTCTCAATTGTACTAAAACTTTCAACAATGTAAGCATTTTCAGTTTACTGACTTATTGATAACTTTCCAGAAATGACGTAGAAACAAAAGCCTTCCTAATACCTGGATTACTGAAATTGAATCATTCCATTATATTAGTGTTTGTAACCTTTGACTATATAACTCATTTGAGGCAATAAAAAAGAAAGAGAGCGTTGAGCAAAAGCACAGGAATCAAGACCACTCCTTTTTGGAATCACCCAATTTGGATTGGAATTCCTCAACTGTTTATCTTTGTCATTTCAAGCAAGTTATGTATGCTCCTAACATTTAGTGTGTTTTGTTGTAAAATGAAAATTTCAATATCTACTGGAGAGGTCTGTTGTAATTATTGCACTGAGATGACGTATGTAAAATATTTAGAACTAGTAGGAAATAAATACTAGCAGTGATATTAGAAATGTTACTATTAATATAGGTACTATTCTACTACTGTACTGCTACTGTTGCTTTTGGTAATATGAATCTAAACTGAAAAAGACTTTTCTACCTATATTTTCTTGTATTTTGGCATATGA